CAGGAATGCAAAGATAGAGAATATACTCACATGGCAGGAGTAATGATAAAGAGAATGACACAATCTCTCTCTGATTGTCTTGTCTGTAAACTCTTATCAAGAAAAATAATTCTGTGCTTTCAGACACTGCATTTCTCCTTAATGAACCCAAGAGGAGTTGAGCATTCACAGAAGATAGCAATAAATATTAAAATAACACTTTTGAATAATAAATACATAAGTGAATGTGGAGACATTGATTTGTTTCAAAAGCCAAGCAGTGCCCAGCTTCTAATCAAACACACTGAAAACTGGCATACAATGCAGACTTAGAAAAACAGATGCTGACACGGTGCAACATGAACTCTAGAATCCCCCAGGCATCAAAAAAACATTGGTCAGTCCTTCATGCTGCTCAGGAACAACATGCCCCTCTGGACTGTTTGGAGAGTATCAAACTCTGGGTTCTCTGGCTTACTGAGTAGAACTCAATACTCACATTTCCGAAAAAGATTAAATAAGGGGAACTGGGCTTTGAAAAAATCTATTTCCTTTCTGCCTACATCAGTTAAAAGCATCCTGCCGAAAATAGCCTAACAAGGAATAAAAACTCACAGTAACTTTTCTTTTCAAGACATAATAATCCAATTAGAAAAAATTGAAGCCTTTCAATAATTTTTGTACATGTATTTACACACATGCATCTATAAACTGCTTGCAGCAAAATAGGCTCTGTCTGAAAAATCAGTCTGGCACTTGTGGTCAACATCAAACTGACACAAATATGCAAAAGCCGTTCAAATCACACAACAATTAGGAGCTACATAGGGCAGCTGGCAGGGAGACAAACATGTAGTACTTGTCTGAGTCAGATAAAAGCAGTAAGTTATCCAGCTAAAATTTTTTTGATTGTCTTCAAAAAAAATTTCGGTAACATTGGTAAAATGATTAGAAACTTTGTTTTCTCAACTGGATTTTCTCAAACCTTTCCCTTCACCTCAAAGAAAGGTAACGCTTGGGTCTGTCTGGTGCCTTGAGAAACAAGCTCTACACAATTGAATCCCAATCAAAGTCATCCTGGATGTCATCTGGAGGCAGAGAGCGCCGCATCTGGAAGGCTTGGGAAGGCATCATGTGCTGCTGGTTCATGGCTCCGTGATGGCCTGGAAGGAAGGAGGCAATGTCAGCAATGACTTGGGAGAGGATAAAGGAAGAAAGAAACACACACCTATTGAACACTTCCTATGTGTGCCAGGAACTCAGCGCATATGCTCTCACTTACCCACCCAGAAGCCTCTACAAGGTGGCTCCTATGATCCTCATCTTACAGGTATTCTGCACCCCACCCCTCTGAAACAGGGAGTTCACCCGCTCCTGAGGCAGCCTCCTTCCCTGTCGGGGCAGCTAAAGCCTTTTTCAATATTAAACTCCAAGTACCAACCCCAACACACCACACCCCAAATTACCTGCAATTGTTGTTCCTGGAGTGCTGAGTGCCTGTGGGATGTGAGGATAACCAGGGGGAGGCATCACTGAAGGAGCGAGATTTTGCCTGGAGTCTATGTACAAATTTCCTAATCAGATTGTGAAGAAGACAGAAGGAAAACACAGTACCATAAGTAAAGCAAATCAAACATAAAAATCTTAATAGAATTGTTATCTAAAACTAAATTAAGCTGGTAAAGTGAGGAAGGAAAGGGAAGGAAAAATCACTCCTTTTAGATGCTAAAACTCTGCCAAAGGTGGTGCTGGATTTTCAAACAGTGCCAGGCTGGGTGTGAGTACACTGGTACTAATTCTGGCACTGCCTCTAATTCTCTGGAAGCTCGTAGGTAAGTTATGTCTGTTATTGTTACATACCTCATTATAGTTCAAAAGCATTTTCATATCACATTACTTCATCTGAGTCTCCCCCTAGACCCACAATGAAGGCAAGACAGGGATTACCCCCATTTTATGGATGAGGCAACAGAGGCTCAGAAGGCTGAGGAGACTTGCCCAAAGACACATCAGTTTGACAGGGCCTAGGGCTAGAATTCAGTTCTCCTAACTCATGGGCTCTTTCCAGTAATGGTTGTCTCTATTGCCCTGATTTTCTCATCCTTAAAGCAGACCTAAGTGTGCCCTAGCTGATTAACAAAGTGACTGGAGGCACAAAGTGACAGGAAAGATTTGCATAAAGTAAAAGAGCTATATCAAAGGTGATTAAAAACATATTATTTAGAAGATGTGTAGATGGAAAACACAGATCTCATTTAAATAGCATTTCAGAAGGTTCTTAAGTTAATATGCTTTCACTAACAGCAGCCATCAAGTATAATAGCTCCAGAATGTCAATTACATTGCATCCTAATGCAAAATAGAAAGGGAGGGGAGGAAAAATCATGCAACCTCCCACAATAACTCCTGGGGAAGAACCACCGTAACACTGGTTTATATTATATGAAATATCCAGAATTCTGGAAAGGCTATTTCCCTAAGGTATTCTAGTGTTGCACACAAACTACTTGCACTCTAGGAATGCTGTAATCAAACTAGAAAACAGCAATCATTTTCCCAGAGGAAACCAGAAAGGGAAGAAAAATCTTCGTTTTATATTCATGGTAGGGCACACTATATTTGGCTGCTCACAAGTTTCCACCTGCCACTGGAAAGTCAGACTGTCCAGGTTTGAGACAGTCTCAGAGATAATCTAATCCAGCCCTACTTCTGTTCATGTAGGTGAGGAAATGAGACGAAAGAAAATGAGAAAGAACCAGGAACAGAACCCAAGAGTTCTGACTTCCAGCCACTGCCTCCCAAGATAACATGCCTTTTTAGAGTAAAGTTTAAAGTCAGAATTGATCTCTCTGACCAATTTACCATACTGAAGGTTTAGGAAGAAAAGAAGAGAAAAGTTATACTAATAAAAGTTATACTAAGTTACAGCTCTAGTATATTTTTGCAGGAGAAAAAATATGATCAGCCTTCATGTTCGTGGCTGATGTACCTTTTAAAGGTTGCATCCGGCTAGAGGGGCTGCCCTCCTCTGAGTAATATGGTCATTCACTTACCAACGACATCCCAGCCTCCATCCTGCAAAATCTTAGCTCTCTTTCTACTTATCCTTAACAACTCAAGTTATAAGGCAAAACCTAATTTTTATTGGAGATTAATCTGTTTTTTTTTTTTCATTTCTCTTTTTTTGGCTTAGTAATTCTTACCTTAAAGGAGGAGACAGGTGAGAATTAGAGAATTATGGAAATAAACAAGATTATGGGAATAAATAGACACCCACATTAAACAAATGGCCTTAACTTTTTGAAACTTGTCACATTCATAAGATTTTATTTTCATATAGAGATTCTCATTACTCCTCATTTTTTCCCCATGTTCTCATTACAGATTGAACAATGAGAGTCTACTTGGACTTTTTAAGCAAGAAATTAACTTATAATGCAGTTTCCAAAGATGTTTGAGATCCTATAACATTTAGAATGTAGTTATGAGAATTTATAAATCTATACTGTGCTGTACACCTAAAACTAATATAATATTGCAAATCAACTACACTTCAATAAAAATCTAATCACACAACATATTTCTTGAAAGTTAGACTGTTGTTGAATGACCATTCATTCATTCAAGAGGTATTTGTGCTAGGCACAGCTCTACGCACTAGAAATACATAAATAAACAAACTCCCTGTCTTTTTGGAGCTGGTTCTCAGGGGATTGGGAGGGGTGAAGACGGGAGGGAGGAAAATAAAGTAAATCATACAGTATGTTATACACGCTACAGAGAAAAATAAAGCAGGGAGAGGGGAAAAGGAGTGCTGAGTAGGTGCCATTTAAGTAGGATGGTCAGGGAAGGCATCACTGTAGTAGGTGCTTTTTTAGGGAAAAACTTGAGTCATGTGTCTATCTGGGGAAGCTCACTCAAGATAGAGGAAAGAGCAAGTACAAAGGCCCTGAGGTAGGGGGAGGGGAGGGGGAGGGAAAAAGAGACAAGGTCACAGAGTAATGGGGGACCAGACTGTGTACGGCCATATAGGGCACAGTAAGGTCTTTGGTTTTTACTGAGAAAAACGGACACTAATAAAGGGTTTTGAGCACAGAAATGATCAGACTTCTCTGTCATATAGAATCCCACTTATCCTGCAAAGTCCAGCTGAAATGTGTCGTCTTGTATGAAGCTTTTCTTTCTCCCTAGGACAAGTAAGCCCCTTTCTCTTATTCCCATTGCCCTGTGGTAGAAATGTAGTCCTCATAATATTGTATTTCTTGATAGACTTGTCTCACCTATCAGGCTGTGAGCTCCTTGAAATTAGGGACTATTCTAGAGTCACCTCATTATTCCTAGTCCCCACTATGTAGTCAGGCACAGGAAAGGTGTAAATAAATGTTTGCTGAATTAATGTACATCTACTTGTATTTAATGACCTTTAAGCAGAGCATCAAATTAAGAACAGCACAACTAGAGGACTTAAACATTACTGGAGGATTTAAACATTTTGGGCAAGACAAATTGTAAATACAGGTAAAATGATTTAGGAAGAAGAGGGAATACACTGTGTACTACATCATCTTTTTCTCCTTCCCTCTTCCACACTAACACATTACAACACTAGTTTCTGGCATCTCTAAGGAGGCCAGAGGTATTTACCAAAAGGGGAGTCTTGAAGACAAACGGGACAGGGAAAGTTTGAAGGATATGGAAAGGCTGTATTCTGGGAGTCAAGACCTATATCTAAATGAACTTTGTAGTTTCAGGCAAGTCACTTTCTCTCTTTGGATCAGTTTCCTTACCTGTTAAATAAAAGGATAACAGCTTTAACAGCTCTCTGAAGTCCCCTCTTACACTACATTTCTAAGAAAATGTGGTAAAGAATTATTGGGTGGTAGAGATAAGAGAAATGAGATATCTGAATAAATGTGAAAGACAGGGATGCAAGAAGGAGAATAAAAGAATGACAGAAAGTGGTTACGACTTAAAAAAAAGGAAGCAGGCTGGCATGTAAAAAACCTGAACATGGGACTTCCCTGGTGGCACAGTGATTAAGAATCTGCTTGCCAATGCAGGGGACATAGGTTCAAGCCCTGGTCTGGGAAGATCCCACATGCAGAGGAGTAACCAAGTCTGTGCGCCACAACTACTGAGCCTGCGCTCTACAGCCCGTGAGCCACAACTACTGAGCCCACGTGCCAAAACTACTGAAGCCCATGCGCCCAGAGCCTGTGCTCCGCAACAAGAGAAGCCACTGCAATGAGAAGCCCACGCACTGCAACAGAGTAGCCCCCGCTCACTGCAACTAGAAAAAGCCAGTGTGCAGCAACAAAGATCCAATGCAGCCAAAAATTAAAAAAAAATTTTAGTTAAAAACAAACAAAAAAACCCCCTGAATGTTTGTGAATAGACAACAGCAGGCATGAGGTGATAGATACTTAACACCAGAGCTGATCACACAAAGTGTTGACAAAGGTCAACATGGCTTGGCAGGCCAGGGCTCGCTAAAGTTCTTTTGACTCAGAAGGAAAAGACTAAAGGGGAAGGAAATTGGGAGACAAATAAACACTGAGGGAAAACTACAGGTCTTCTGCATTTGATAGGCTATGAATGGAGCAGCACTGAGGAGAATCAAGAAGGAGCTGGGGGGACCCTATAGGGAAAGGAAGTGCTGGCAATAAAAGGGAAAGATGGCAGAAAAAATTAAGAGAATCATAAAAACCAGAACCAAATAATCAAGGTCAGGGATCAAGCAGAGATGACCACAGAAGTCTACTAACAAAGGGCTTTAGGGAAATAACCCAGGATCTCAGTCTAGAGAGAATCTAGAAGAGATGCCTGGCCACTCTGACAGAGGACAGCAGCAGATGGAAAGTGCTTTTTCCATGACCAGGAGTACCCAGTTCCAAAATCAAAAGGTACTTTTGGACCTTTCTTAGAGAGTTAGGCCACAAAATTGAAGAAAGTCTTGTTTCATCCTACAGCTTTGAAATTGCAGAAAGGGGAGCTACTGGCAAGCATGTACAATGGCCTTCTGAAATGGCCTTCTCTTAAGACTGACCCACATCTTGTTCTACCTGTCTTTCCTAGAATTCCCTGATTTGAAGGCAACAATCTGAGCAACACAGGGGCTCACCCCCAAACACACATGCATACTGATGTACATATAAACTACTCAAATTCACTTAGTACTTTTAAGGTTGACTGAAATGGTTTAAGGTGATTTGGAAAGGAGAATGTGGCAGCACTTAGAAGGGACAATTTTCGTTGAACAGGGAAAGAAAGGAAGAGAGGAGAACCAAGAAACAATGGACAAAGTATGGTACATCTGGTCTAGGACTTCAAGCAAGCTAGAAAAGTAAGTGATGTATCCTGAAAGGGACAAGTTATAGGCTTAGAACCTATCAGAGGACCAAGGATAAGCTGTCCACATAGAAGAATAGATTAAAAAGATGGAATGGAAGAAGACAAATAAGTAAAAATGCACGCCAAATCATAACGATCTTGATACTTAAACATGAAGATAGGGAGAATTCTGGGAAGACGGTGGAACAGGAATCTAGATAAAACTGCATGGGTAAAATCTAAC